CTGACGTAATAAGGAATAACTTAGGCTACTTCTATTTTAGAAAAATAAAGTTTGAATTCCACGCGGACTAAGTCGCAGGCACAGCTATTTATATATATTGAATATGAAATAACCACTTATTACTCTTAATATTAAATCACTGAAAGTTTATGATTTCCGCAGGTACTTTCAATAAAACATATAAAGGACAGTAAAAAAAAGTACATGAATTAAACTGTATCATGTACTACCATCACAGTTCCTAATTTGGTGTTCCTAATAATGTTACGGGTTCGACGTCATATGAAGCAATCAACGAAATAATAAGCGTAGGTATTTCAAATAATAGTTGACATTGATTTCATTATAGTCTACTCACATGTGTTCGTTGCCGTGAATAATTCTTTAGCAGTTTAGTTTTTAGTTTACTTTATTTCATCATCATCGCAGCTCGGAAGACGTCCACTGCTGGACATAGACCTCCCCCAAAGATCTCCACAACTGTAAATCCATTTGGGGGGATATTGCCATAATCGACTGATTTAATCTTATTGTGTTTTTATATTTGAGCCTAAATAAATTAGTGCTGGTTGGTAGTTTGTATTCACACGTTTCGACTTGTAAAATGTGAACTTACAAGGATTGTTTAAAAGAGCAACACACAAGTTTCTTGCTTATTCTTCTTGTGATGAGACAGCTTTCCGAATAAGCGGTAGATTTAAAAAAATGTTGACTATTCTAAAGTGCTTAAATTAAGTTTATTTGAATAAATGATTTTCTATTCTATTCTAAATCGCCACGCTTGGCATGCGGGTTGGCGATCGCAGTGTGATGGTAGTTACTCAGTAGAACGTTGCTGCTCGTCCACTGGTAGATGAATCCATTAGTCTCCTTTTACTACACCCACGGGAAGAGGGGGTGGTGCTATTCTTACGGCAACACCACCCTCATTTACTTTATTTATCTGATTATATTATCTACATATCTATACAGTAAGTACTGCGTTACTCACTATATGACTACACGAATTATATTACCGAAACTCTAGATATTGCGTCGACCTATGACTGCATTTAAATGTTTAGATTTATATTTCTAATTTTAGAGATTTATCCAAACGATACCAATACAACAAAAAGATCTAATAAATTGTATATTTATTCCAAAATATCTTTATACATGTAGGTCTATTACAGACTCTTATGATATGTCAAATCTACCTGAATGATTTCAAGATGAGAAGAACTGAAAAGAAACTGATTTCACATTCAGCATTCATCTCATTTCACTCATTCAAATATTGTTTACAATAATAAGGATTCGTTTTTATATTCAAATTTGGGAGAATAGAGTGACCACCAGCATATGCTATTGGAAAAGCAAATAGTCTAATCAGTGTTCGTAACCGTAGTCCGTAACACTTATTTTCTTTAACACTTGATCATACTTAATACACAAAATTCTAAATGCAACAATCAAATTTACACTTAAAATGAATTTGATGTACTATCTACAAAAATGTCAGGTCACTGACTGTTTATATATCTTTGGAAATACTCACCATAATTATAATAATACGAAAAAAAGAACGACACATTTCAACTTACTATGAACTTAACTATTAACATTTTATGAGGGTAGTTATTGCAATTAAATTTCTTACTTTACCCTTTATTATAACAATATTTATTTACAAATAGAACAATGGTTATTTACTAATATTATTTTTAGGAACTAACGAATAAATAACGAGGTTACTGCGAACAGGGATGAATGGAAGAGAAAAACATATTACGACGACCACAAATAAATGGAATAAAGAAGAAGCAGATGATAATTATTATTAGGAACTAGTTAAATTATCTATACCAGTGGTTCACAAACAGTTTTTGCTGCGTACCACTTCAAAAAACATCTCAAACCTTGCGTAGCCTTATTGTAGCAATCACGCTATATAAATGTGAAAGTTTGTGAGTGTATGTATGTTTGTTTTACTGATAGCCGCACGTACCCCTTGATGCAACTTCATGTACCCCTGGAGGTACGCGTACCACTAATTGGGAAATAAATATCTATACTATTATCTTGAAGGAATTTAAAAAAATTATATTTTTGTCACATTGTGTGTAAACAAACCAAATAATACTTGACAGATTTTAGTAATTCTGTTTACTATACATTACGTAAATATATATAGTTAAACAAAATAATTAAGAGAAGTTTAAGGTTATGTTGTTCATAGTTCAGAGCCTGTACATACATGTTTTGACTATATGAATATACACTAGTTTTATTATAATAAGGATAACAAAATACACCTCTGTTCTCAATTAATATTTACTTTACATTTATTAAAAATATATGTGTAAATTTCTGATTTTTTGTAACATTTAGGCAGAAACCTTTAGGAGTACTTTGTAATGAGATTCAATTGAAATAAAATTTAAAAGTTGTCAATTATTCAGTTGGTATTCATCAATATGTTTATTTTACTTAAACTGTTACAAAAACTCAGAAATTTACACATAATTTCTTCCTTATGTCATAATTTTATTTAAGTAAATGGTGTAAAGTGATTTTATTAGTTTGCCAAAATGTATATATATCTGTAATTGAACTATATATTCATATATTGTTAGATGATTGTTATGATGAATTGTTGTTTGCGAGATGATGTAGGCAGATCAAAATCAAGTCATTTATTTATCCCTTGATTAACAAGGGAAAAACATATGAATATCAAAGTTGTCAATTGTTTTAAATTTATATTTCCTGTTGGTGTATATACTTATGTAAATATTGATAGTTATTTTTGCAGCACAAACTTTTGGGAAGGAAAAAGGGAATTACATTGTGTTATTAATAAAATATGTGAAAGCCAATATTAAATACTTGTTCTTAAATCAAATCAAATCAAAAATGTAGAATACTTTAGCCATCAAATTTTTTGCATAATATTTTTCACTAGGATCCAGTAGATTTAATTGAGATGTACTAGCAAGAAACTTAACTGAATTTCCATGTTTTAAAGCCAGGTTTTTTAAGTATGTACTTTACATAAGTACATACTTAATTTAAAAACCTGGACTGGTGGACTTTTTTTTTATGAAAAGTAACACAGTTCGGTTTGTTTAGATTATTAAAAATACTTGCCAGTTTGCATGATTACAACAACTATAAGTCCTTCAATTTCGCAAATACTATGTATAAGCCATTTCAAAATTAATAAAGTGTCAAGAAACAAATTCTCTTTCCCAATTCTAATATTTGGATTTAGGATGTTGTGTTTAAATTTAGGTTTTAGTATATTAAAGATGTATTTGATTTAGTGTTTTTACAGTTAGAAGTAATATAATTAATATTGACATACTCTGTGGACCGGTGGTTCGGCACACAGCTAAACATCCGATGGTTGCGGGTTCAATTCCTCGCATGGTACAAACAGTTGTAATCTTGAATATGTTTATTATTAATAATAATAATATACTGCACTAAATCTAAAAGTATATTTTTGAGGAAATTTATTTAATAATCAAACTGATTTGGCAAAAATTCTTCAATTTTTAATACTGTTAATTCTTTAAAGTGTGATTCAGTGCAGTTAATTTGACTCGTATAGAGTAAATAAAATTGAAATATGATTTTATATTTATTATTTAATAAACATTACATACCAATATTGAAATAACCAATGAGAAAAATCATTGAATAAAGCAACTTGCAAGTAATGGAATAAAGTATTATATACATAAACCTTCCTCTTGAAATACTCTATCTATTAAAAAAACCACTTCAAAATCTGTGGCATAGATTTAAAGATTTAAGCATCCATAGGATGGACAGACAGCAACAGAGATTTTATTTTATACTATGTAATAATTACTGAAATTATTATTTGACTCAAATCATATTACTGTTAACTTAATATATCTTTTTCATAACCAACAGTGAAAGTTTTTTTTTCCATATTAAAAATATCAGGATCAAATGGGAGTTAATAATTAAATATTATAAACATAAGTGGAAGATAATGATTATAATGAAAAATGGGAAATAAACACTACACTTGTTCAGTAAGAACTAGTGCATTAACAAATCTAACATACACCTAATATTTGGGTTGAAGAAAGTTATAGTTTACTTTGGAGAGATAATTAGCACTTTTGTGACTAAATTCAAATTAAAAAATTGTTTATTCATATACAACATTTCAGGCATCAAATTATTTTAATTAATATTTTCCTATCATCTATTTCATTATACAGATTTAATTAAGAAGAGTTGGCAAGATAACTGAATTTCTTTTTTTTTTTCATGTCAGTTTATTAACACTGTACACTTAGAAAGGTGTCTATGTCTGTCATTAAATGAAAATCCTATGCATGAACAACTGTTGCCAATGGCAATATTGTTCATCAGGATTTTCATTAAGCATTAATGTAATAATAATCAAGTAATAGTTTAGTGAATATGCCTTGCTTAGTAAATATGATTAAAGAGACATTTTGAATTTATTTAAGGGTAATTCCAGTATATTGTTTGGTATTATTGTAAATTTTATACCCATTCCTATAAAAGATCCATTAACTTTTTCTAAATGATACTTAGGAACAACTTTAAATCTTGTATGAGTACTTTGAGCACTGTCTGATTTCACCTACCTGTACAGGTACCTACATATGTGGAAACCGCAATATTTGTGTGATTGGTAGTAACATATTTTATTATCATTATATTATGGTTTCTTGTGGGGTCGAAATCATTAATTCCGCCACACGCCATTACCAATAACATGCCCCGGATTATGGTGCCTAATAATAATGTTACAATTACATTAGCATTTATTATCCCCAGAATGACAGCAATAAGTTTTTAACAGTGTAAGTGGTTAAAATCGCAGGCGACCAATTTTGGAGAAGATTGTAATTCAATTTTAAAAGTTACTTAATATTATAATAAGGACTCGAGACTACGCGGTGGTACGGCGAAGGAGACGTGACCAAATATATTATTGCACAAACCGTGAACACATCAATATCACCCGAGATCACTCACACAATAATACAAAATAGTCATCACAATTTTTTGCTAAATTTAAATGTTACTTTATCACAATTTTAGTAAACACTATAAAATCGTACAAAAATACAAATTACAAAATTCTAATCAATTGACATGACATGACAGATGGGCAAATTATCAGTGTTGCCTGTATATATGTGTATGTAATGGCTATTAGTTTTTAGGCTGAGCCTAATATTACGCATATTAGGCTTAATGCGTACAAAAATCCGATATGGCTAACGCGATTTAAAGAATTTAAATTAAATCGGTGATTGCTTTGAATTTAATCTATTTTTTAATAACATACGACATTTTGTAAATAATGTAATAAAACAAGAAAATGGTATTAATGACTCCTAAAGGTTATTTTGCTAAGCCAATCTGTTAATTTTTAGTCGGTAAATAAGTTACAATTTCAACAGTTCTAAATACTGAGACACATTTTAACGTTTATTTTTTTAACCTAAACAATTCATTTACGTGTAATGAATTGTTTGAAGAGTAGCTGAAGGTTTCTTGTAAAATGGCCAGATTGGAAACATTGCAAGTGTTTGTAAGCCGTGTAAGCAAGATAGAAAGAGTTATTGTACAACATAAAAAAATCTAAAACTCTCAATTGTATTTGATATAGAGGCCAGAGATTAAAAATAATTTTGTTAAATTAGAATATATCCGGGGAAAAAAATAAAACAATAGTAATGGCAATAATGATTTTAATTACTATGACTATTTATTATGATAGAGCGTTTATCGCTCATTCAACGCAGCTTCCTGATATTTAGTAATACTGTGGGTTGGTGTTGAAGCAAACTTAAATAGTAACAATAATAAATAATAATAGTAGTTTGCATAATATTTGCACAATACTACTCAATCACTGTTAATATGGTATGATTTTCACTATTAAGTGCAAGAAATTTATGTGGATAGTCACACACAAGATACACATTACGGCTAACAAGTAAGTTATATATCTACGGCTGCTGTCACCAAGCCCTATTTAATTGTTACTGTAATAAGTTGAGCAGGCGAAAGAAATCTAAGCTATTATAGATGATTAGCTAATTAAGTCACAGCCGCAGTTACACAGAGTATAATAATAGTAATATATTGTTAATAATGATAACAATACATTTAACTTATAAAAACTACAAAGTATAACAAAGTAATAACAAATCAAAATAATATTTTAAGGGCAACGAGATAACGTAATGTCCTGTATAAACTTATTATAATAAATCACGTCACAAATTTTACTGAATCATTCACATACTATGTAGGTTATAATACAAATAAATTATCAAAATGTTGATAATATATTGATATTGTATTTGTTTTATAATAAGTCTATTCATCTTAGTATTCCAGGTACATAGAAATAAACAAAAAATATTTCTGTATGTAGCAAAACTAGACAAAAAATAGAACACTTTACAAAGTGAACACAAATCTTTTACATTATGAAGTAAATAACAGATCGTATTAAAAGAAAAAGTAAGGTATATAATTCAAAAATATCATTTAGAATTCAACGTTAGTAATTTTCAATCAACTTTAAAAAAATCTCAATTTGACTGTTTTAATAGCAAAAATATCTAATTTGACATGGTTCGGAACTTGTTCTGATTATTTTGTAATTAATAAGCCCTACTCCACTTCTTATCCTTACCGATTTCGTCACACTTAACAATATCTTAAACCACAGATGTCAAACTCATCTATTACAAGTAATACTATCTTGTAATATTACATAGTACCTTGTCATAAATGGTAAAAATAATATAAAAAAAAATCTTCCAAACTTTGTAAACAAACTAAATACATAATTCGTAATTTGACACATACAAAATATGTATATTATAATAACTGTATAACAAGGATATCACAAACTTGTAACTTCACAACAATAAGAGTTTATTTTAGTATCAAGGACACAAATCTTTTAAAAAAACTGTTAATTCATAGAACAATTAATGTAATTTATTTTAAAAAAAGTACAAAGAGTGAGCAAATTTAAACAACAGAAGTGACTTTTATCTTTTGCCATTCTATTATTTTAATTATTTATATGAGCATGAGAAGACCTACTGAACAGTAAGGACGTTGCATTAATTCAGGTATAGCACCTAGACATTGAAGTAAATATATAAAGTATAAAAAATATATAATATACATAAACTAATAGTGAAAATATGCATAATTTAGTAGTAAAATATATAAATATAATATTGTTAGAAAGTTATACATGAAGTATTTGGTTTTAAGTGACTATACAGTGTACCTATTCATAAGTAATTATACAAAAACTAAAAGCAGAACATCTGTTAGTGTATCCAAACTATATAAACATATAAAAAATCAATTTAAATGCGTACTGTACTGGCTGTATTGTTTGAAGGACTTAATAGTAATTATACCTAAGTTTACATTATTTATTATATAATATCTACTTATATAAGCCTTAAAAATGAACAATTTTGAACACATCTATTTGGGAATGGAAGGGATTGTAGTAATATTAATACTTTGCTATATACTATAGCCTATGTGCTGTAAACCAATATGTAGAAGTTGAGGTATTAAGTATTCATGGACAAGCCCATGTGAAAAGACAGAGCTGAGTATATTTTCAGTTCTTGTTTGTTGGAATGTATTCCAAACTGATGACTGACATATCATAAGAGTCTATAGTAGACCTACATGAATAAAATATTTTAATTCTACGACACGACGAACTAATTAATAACATTATTGAAAGAAAAATAGATGGAAAGAAAGGAAGGGGAAGACCAAGACACAAGTATATCAAGCAGGTTAAAGAAAGAGTTGGAGTCGTGTCGTATCAACAGCTAAAAAGACTGATAGAAGATCGTGGAAGGTGGCGGGAGCTCCACCGACAAGAACACAGCTCTTAAATTATGAATGAATGAGTCGTGGTCCGACACTAATCATTTAGACGGTATCACTTATAAATATATTGTTTCTATTCTGTGAGTATAATTAAGAAATATAATTGATTTTATTTGGTTTTGACCCATGGCTTGTAATATTCAAATAAATATTACTTATACTGAAAGTCTTACAAATAAATATAATTATAATAAAAAAAATGAAAGTGAACCTTTTATAAAGATTCAGAAACTGAAACTAATTAAGCAGTATAAGTAGTTATAGTTAAAAATATATAATTGACTGATATATGTACACATATATAATATCAAGCATAGGAAGACGATACTTCGAGTGAAGCTTACAATAAAGTTGACTTTCAATGTCATAATATCGCTACAATAAATTCGTAAGTTCTACTGTAATTGTGTGTATAAGTAGCAATAAGATATCAAGTATTTAAAATAAATACTTATGTAATTAATAAATATTCATTTTCGATAAGTAGTTGCATGCACCAAAAAAATCACGACTTCTAGATTTATATTCTGTAAATATATTTAGAGATTTACAATGAGTAAACTATAAGTAAAGACGGGTTTGAATTAGACGGTAGTATTTACCTTGTACCGGGCGCTTATATATCGCCTTAAACATTAATGGACAATTTTAGTTTACTACAACATGCCTTATGATTAAATAATCTTATTTCCGACTCTAGTCAAAATGTAATTATGCAACTTTGACACAATTATGCAGAGAAGACATCTTCCAATCAATAAAGACGGCCAAAAGTTTACATTTCAGAAGATACGGATTCTGTGTTCAAGTCTGAATATTCTGTAGTACGAAGTCTGAAAAAAGAAGTAATAGTTTTTAATAAATTGTCTGTATGAGTACCAAAATATTATCATTATTATTATTAAAGCTTGTTTTGTACTTAGTTTTATGTGTAGGGTTGGAAACAGTAAAGTTACAGGTTAAGAAGCATAATTTATTTCTCTTAAAAATACAGGAATCTGGAGGGGACGTAGCATAGCCCAAACCACTGGACGGATCGGGCTGAAATTTGGCACACAGGTAGATGTTATGACGTAGAGATCCGCTAAGAAAGGATTTTGATTAATTCTACCCCCAAGGTGATAAAATAGGGGATGAAAGTTTGTCTGAAGTCATTTGCCATTTGTCGTGGAGACGTGCCCTTGGAGCTCGGAATCCAAATTATTTTTGACATATATGTATTTGCGCGGCTCATCAAGATTACTTATGACCTGAGAGCTGGTAGCTACTATGGCCAAATGCTAGTATGGCCATTCAAAGAGGCAACGCTGACAATATCTTGGGTACGCAGATTCAAAGAGGCAACGCTGCCAATACGCAGCCTCGATGTGCCGCGTTGGATTACAATGATTTGAATGATTTTTTTATGATTGCTTATGTATGTAATCACTTAATCTAGAATGAAAAATCTATGATATCACCACATGCATGCCATGATAACGTGATGTCTGTAGTGCTGTTCATTAATGTAAAAGACGGTTACCACCCACCTTGTGGTGGTACCTGTCCTTGTTTGCCATTTCAACAACTTAAAAACAAATTAACGACTCATCATCATCACTTCATCACGGAAGATATACTTATTGGGCATGCTGTAAGGTATTAACTGTGTCATTCACTTGTTTAAAATGAATGATTTTTGTTGTCAGATTTACAAAGTATGTTGCTGATTTTTATGATCAAAGACTCACCTCAGTATTGCAAAGACATAGAACAAAATCATTGCAAATGCAACTGAGACGTGCACATAGTGTTTAAACGGCGGCTGAAAAGAATGAAATACAGCAATGAGTTTATTATTCTTATAATTATTTATGACATTTACATTTAAACTAGTTGTACCGCGTGGAATTTAGCTTTATTTTTTTATGAAATAAAAGTAGCCTAAGTAACTCATTTTACCAGCTACCTGCCAAAAAAGTCCCATCAAAATCGGTCCTGCCATTTCAGAGATTAGCCGGAACAAACAGACAGACAGACAAAAATTTTGTTATTTTGGTGTATGGTCCGTATTTATATTCATATGCATGCAGTAAAATACGGTTATTTCAATATTACAAGCAGACACTCCAATTTTATTTATATGTATAGACGATTATTTGCACAATTTGACCCACTCGACACTTCCTATGCCACGCTCTATCGGGTTAACTGGGAGAGATCTCCTTTAGAGACCCCTCCGATCGATCCCCCGTCCAATTCAAACGAGAATCGAAATTACGACGGCCTGAGCCGAGGTTCGAACCCCTAGTGGTGGCCTCAGACTAAAGTCATATCCGTCAGGCAGGAGTTGGCCTTCAGCCGCTCCATAAGTCCTTCCTTTGGTTTGGAGTGCCATCTGCACTCGCCTCCTAGCGTCCGGTGAAGCTGTAAAGGCCAGCTGCGACATTAGAGTATTAGAGTAGTTAGAAAAAATCTTTTAGAGATAAGACCTCCTTTGTTAACATTATTTCTAATTAACATATCTAAAAATGTATTATTTATATATTAAAAATGTATTTAAATGCAATAAAAATCATATATAATTTTCCATCACTAACGTCATAAAATTATTAAAGTGCGATTAAGAATGGCATGTAGTGGGTTCCTTACAAATAATACACACAGTTTTTTTTCATTATGTTACTATGAAACGTGCTTCCACTTTGAGGCTTCTAGTAATGACTGAAAATATATTAATCGAATATTACATCCAGGGGCGGATCCTAATTATATTACTCAACCAAAAAGAAGCGACCAGAAATTCCTCGTTCCTTTCGATAGACGTGCACTTGAATGGGTTGATTGATCTCAGGGTTGTCAACCTTATGATAGGTTTTTTAACATTCTAGATACTTTTTTATATTTTAAATATTGTTTCAGTGGTAACTGGAGGCCCTTTGTATCCTCGGGGCTGCAGCCCAAAAAGCCCTAAGGTAGATCCGCCCCTGATTACATCCACATCACCACAATTATGTGAGCATTAGCGAAGATTTTTAGAAACTAGCTGTTAACCCGCGGTTTCAGCCGCATAAAATTTATAGCCTACATGTTTTTCTGATGTACAAGCTATATTACTGTAAATTTTCATCAAAATCAGATCAGTAGTGTTTGTGTGAAAGAGTAACAAACATACATTTAGCCATCCATACTCACAATTTCACGATTACGCTTAATATTTAGTAAGATTTCGGGACTAATAATACTTTATGACAATATAATACATAACATAAAATCCCCGGACAATTCACACAACGCCATGTAATATACATTATTTAAATTATTAACCGGGTCTTAACACTCCACTCTTGTTGCTTCAGTCAGCTCGTGACCATGGTGCAACCTAGTCGAAACGTCGAAGAGTTAAATACCTTTATTTGCCATAAAATTATTCGTGTTAACACTGGGTTAATAATTTAAATAACGCCATCTAATCCCAAGGTAAGCAGAGTTTGTGTAATGGGATAAAATAACTGATATAAATACTGAGATACTTTCCTTGCAAAATTCATACATAATATACAAATTAAATATACAGACGGATACAAACATACTCATGAATTCAAATTTTGTACCGTGCGAGGAATCGAACCTACTATAGCCTACCAGAGTAGAACTAAGAATTTAGGTGGTGCTAATCAGTCGAAGATTACCTTCTCGCATTCATGTTGCCAATCAACAGTGAGCAAGTTCGTGTACAAATTTATGAATCTATCAAGAGGACATTTTTCTCCACAGTACGGTATGTACAGAACTTTAGGCTCCACAATCTCAATTGTATTCCTGTATGAGATCCTTATGAAATATGAATCAGTCTTGTTGTTAGCAGTCTTTTCTGTGAACAATTAAGAAAAAAAATTATGAACATATAAGAAAAAAAAAGTGCTTAAAATGCCATTAAAGTGTTATTAACAGTAAATTAACAGATATAAGTTTGAAGTGTCAGTCCATTAAACTTGTCCCTAAAATACGGTCGAGCGTTTGATTTGTAAATGTAAACTTAAAATGATTATTTAAAAGAGCAACACGCAAGTTTATTTCTCCTTCTTGTGATGAGACAGCTTTCCGAACGAACGGTAAATTAAAAGAATAATAACTGTAACTACAAAAAAGCTTAAATGAAGTTTATTTGAATAAATGATTTTCTATTCTATTGTTCTACTTACCGTGAAGCAGTTCTAACAAAACGGTGGCCGTGTATGATGGACATTTGCCGTCAAACATGTGCAGTGCATTCAGAACGCTAGCTACAGTTATGTCATGGGCGCTGAAAATCGAGACACGAGCTTCCATTTTTCTTTTCCCAGTCTTCTCATATTCCACTGTGCGTACCATTTGTTCAACGATAAGCTTCAGTAATGGACCAACTTTCAAGCGTGCAAGTATTGGTAAAGCCGTGTTTGTGGTGAAACTAAAATAAATATTGTGAATAAATGTGCCGTAATATAGGTGAAGTAGCGAAATGCTTAAAATGTACAAGAAAATAAGTTAAATTTGGTGAGAGCAGCACGCGAGCATTTATTCTGTTTAACGGAAACCCACCCACGTAATATACGAATTGTGGATTGATAAAGAACTTGTGTTAAGTCTCTGTTATGTATATCGATTATTATTATATATTATATGCAGGTTTAAATAATATAATAATAAATATTTACACCTATATCCCCCTCTGATCGATCCCCCGTTAATTCAAACGGGGATCGATATTGCGACGGCCTGAGCCGAAGTTCGAACCCCTAGCGGTAGCCTCAGACTAAAGTCGTATCCGTCAGGCGGGAGATGGCCTTCAGCCGCTCCATAAGTCCATCCTTGGTTTGGAGTGCCATCTGCACTCGCCCGCTAACGTCCGGTGAAGCTGTGAAGGCCAGCTGCAGCCAACAGCATTAGAGTGAATAAAGCATATATTTTTTACACGATTACAAAATGACTTGTTTATTATACATAGTCGTGATAAATTATTGTACCTATAACCAGCTGGTTCCAACAATTTATCAGGATATACACTTTGTGTCCAGTTTGGTAAAGTAAAATTGTACAAGTCTTCAATATACAACACGTTATATATATTGTTGATATGGTTATAGTCAGTCACTTTTTCCCCAGTATGTGCGGATAAATACCTGTAAAGATAAGAGTTACAAATAAATGTTAACTACAATAATTATTTGATCACATTTTTTATTTTTTATACTAGCTGTTACCGCGACTTCGTCCGTGTGGAGTTTAACTTTATTTTTTTATAAGTATACTCCTTATTACATCAGATACCTACCAATAAAAATCGCGTCAAAATAGGACTGACCATTTCAGAGATTAGCCGGAACACACTGACAGACAGACAAAAATTGTAAAAATGTTATTTTGGTGTATATACCGTATTTATATTCATATACAGTAAAAAACGGTTATTTCAATATTACAAACAGACATTCAATTTTATTTATATGTATAGATTACGATGTTTTGACAGACAATACGGCCCGTCTGATGGTTAATGGTTACCGTAGCCTATGGACGTCCGAGACACCAGGGATGCCACGGGCCCGCAGACCTATAAGTAACCTTAATATACCCCTCTTGCTGTAGTCCATATAGAAAACCTCGGCAGGAAGTCCATTCCACAATCTAAGTGTAAATGTAAGAATAAAAAAAAAAATCTAAGTGTACGGGAGGATGCTCCTCAGAAACCGCACTGTCCTGAGACCACTAAGATTCTAGCGTGATTTAACATTTACTAACATAAATATAACATATATATAAGAAAATTAAATAACCAAGACAATTGACATAGTGTCATCCGTACTAGATATATCCGGATAATTTAATAAATCTTTTGTAAATATGTACATACAGTACATACAAAATCATAGGCCAATACAAACTTATGAGTCATAACTTTGGAATACAAATGAAATATGTTTGTTTTGTCGGACGAATTGAATTCTCAACCATGGAAAATAATGGTGTAAATAGACCACTGACTGCTGAAAGACTATATGACTGATATTTATGTCAAATTCAAATTCACAAATCATTTATTTATGTAGGTCATTTTAGCCGCTTATGAACGTCAAGTTTTTTACATTATAATTTTAATTTTATTCCCTACCGCCCAGTTCGATATATAGATCCAATTGAGAAGAACTGGCATGAAACTCAAATGAATAACTTCTTTTTTAGTGTCAGTTTATTTACAATGTATAGGTATTTAATATTAATAATAATAATAATTTTATTTTGCATCCAATATTTACAATTTAAATTGTTCCCTGGTACCTAAACTAAGTAGAATTTATATAGATGTCTATGTCTAACATTAAATCAAATTCAAGTAGATAAACAACTATGGCCATGTACGCTCATCATTCAATCGTTTAATGAGTAATAGGCTTTGCTCAGTAAATATGATTTAACAGATGTTTTGAATTTATTTAAGAGTAATTCCAATATATCATTTGGTATATTATTGTAATTTTTTATACCTATTTCCATAAAAGAGCTATTGACTTTTTCAAACAAATGGATAGTCCGCGTGATGAGATTGATAACTGACACCGATTCACAAAAAAATACAGAGAGGCTTGTGAGACGTGGGCACTGACATAAAAGGAAAGAGACAAACTGGAAGCCTTTGAAATGTGGTGTTGGAGAAAGATGGAAAGAATTAACTGGAAAGATAAAATAAGGAATGAAAAAGTGCTTGAGAGGATTAAAGAAAAGAGACAGATCATAGATATTATTGAGAAAAGGCGGGGGAAAATTATGGGGCACCTGATACGACACGACGACGACTAATTAACAACATTATTGAAGGAAAAATAGATGGAAAGAGAGGAAGGGGAAGACCAAGACATAGCTATATCAAGCAGGTTAAATAAAAAGTTGGAGTAGTGTCGTATCATCAGCTAAAAGGACTGATAGAAGATAGTGGAAGGTGGCGAGAGCTCCACCGACAAGAGCACAGCTCTTAAATTATGAATGAAGGAGAGAGGAATGGGTTCTAATTTAGCTCCATTACTAGTAAGTTATTTTATCAGGTCCACTTGCTCATAATTCCCAAAGAAGTTAGGTACCTAATGTAAATACTTGTAATAATACCAACAACAACCCTGAACAATTCTAAGTACTAGATCTGATCTGATCTAAGTACTAGACAACTGATATAAATACTTAGATTTCTTTTTTGGAATACTAAGAAAACATCTATGCCATAAAATATATATAGCAAAACCGAGACAAACAAATACAAAATTACACTCTCTCAGAAATCAAACCCACATCCATTAAAAGTAAATCCATGTGCTGAACCGCTAAACCACCAAGGAACAGGCTATACATATTTTAACAGATCACACTTACTGCATAAGTCCTTGATATTCATGAAGCCTGTCCACATACTCCTTCGATTTAATATGTTCGTCATAGGCAATTCTATATCTTGTACAGGGTTTCTCCATAGCCAATACGTTATCATCCTTCACTGGTCTGGTATGCACTGGTATTGGTTGCCACCTAAGATGCTCATCCCAGACACAGTTGCCACTTGGTGGATACATTCCTGTTTGAAAATATAAACCTTAGTTAATGAAATCGATTAAATGAACTAAATTGTTTAGGTGTAATTCATCACCTGAATAATGGTGATGAATCGCTGTTCCTGCATGTCATAACCATGATAATATCTTTTGTAATTAATTTGTATTAGATAAACACCTTTTTTACTGATATAAAATATGAATGTAACTTATATGTAGGAGGTTATGTTAGGAATGTCAGATATACTGTATTTTGTGTTCCATATTTAGAAATTTACTTTATACTAGCTGTGCCCGCGGTTTCAACTGCATCAGATTTATAGCCTATGTATTATTCTGATGCATAAGCTATATCATTGTATAGTTTGAACAAAATCCGTTCAGTACTTTCTATGTGAAGAGTAACAAACATCCATCTATAGTCACAAATTTTCTAATATTAATAATAAGATGTGATAATACACTAGAATACTATCTCACCTGCTAGATTTGCTTCTGCAGACATGAGAGTTCGATCAACGTCTGTAGATCTGACATACAGCTCGGTAGGTTCAAATTCAGTTGACAATAAGTGCTAGAAACCATCAAAAACTACATAAATAATATGTAAATGGTCAAGTATTAATAGGTATTTATACCTTCAATTATTTATTTATAATATTTCCAACTCAGTTTTTATAGAAATAAAGTAAAAATATATATATAAGTATTAATGAGATTGTTAGTTGATGAATATATCAAACAATAAGTGTAATGTGAGTCATACTAAATATAACATATTTAATGCTACATGTAGCTGATGGGTGATATAAGAAGATAAGATAAATATAATAGCTTGAAATGTGTGGATTATATATGTATGTATGATGCCACTGTACACCATGTCAAATATCTAATAAGCCTATTTTAGAAAAAAGAATAAAGAGAAGAAAATCATTTATACAAATAAATTTAAGTACATTAAAGATTTTTGAATAGTCATCACTTATTTTTTGTAATCTACCACTCATTAGGAAATCTTTCTCATCACAAAAAGAATGAGCAAGAAACTATGTGTTGCTATAATTTAGTTGTAGCTTTAAATTTGTAAGTTGAGTTTGAATACAAGCTGGTAGCTTGTATTCAAACTCGATTTACAAATGTAACTAACACTACTTAATACAATAGAATTAAATATAGAAAATATTAAATACTCAACCAGTTGGTTGTAAATAAGAGTATATGAGTTGTAGTGATTAGAGCAGACCAGTCCCTATAATCATAAATCGCTCACAAGTATTATTATATTTTACTATTAAATTGTCTTGTCCTTTTATTTCTTATACCTATTTGAGTATTTAATTGAATTAGTGCTAATTGGTAGTTTGTATTCACACACTTCAACTTAAAAATGTAAAGTAACAATAAAATTATTTAAAAGGGCAACAAGCAAGTTTGTTTCCCGTTCTTCTTGTGATGAGAGAGCTTTCTGAATGAGCGGTAGATTTAAAAAAATGTTGACTATTCAAAAGTGCTTCAATGTAAGTTTATTTGAATAAATTATTTTCTATTCTATTCTAATTGTAACAATACTTCAATATTGTTACAATTCTCTATAAAAAAGAAGTAGTAATACTACTTCTTATTTAGAAGGAAGACAATGTTCTATTTACTTATTAATCTCAATAATTTATTATACTTTGCAAGAACAAAGACCATCATTAATCTTATCTCATTTAGTATGTAACTAATTGAAGTATATACTTGTTTAACAAAAAGAATCAATCCTATATTTGCATAGAATTAAAAGTAACCCAAAAAATATTAAGAGTTAATTGAAAAGAATCAGTTTTGTTTAATTGGTTGAATAATGTAATTGTTGTAATATATACATGATATCTCCACATGGAGAGGAAAACAAAATGTAATATGATTACAGTTTTCTGGAGCAATACTCATTTGTTAGGAATAAGGATATAAAGGATTTTTTTTTTCTTCTATTCCTATCTGCAATCAGTCCCAGAACTATGAGCAGATTTTGTGGGTGTGGGATCTAAGAATGGAGTGTCCACCCTAACGGGAGAATCTACTCCTTAAGCATACTGCAAACATTACATAATGTTGCTTCTTTTTAGTCGCTTGGGGTAAAGTATTTGTAGTAATTGAGCAGCCAGTTGATTTGGGTGGTTAGGAATAAGAATGAATAAATAATAATCGACATGCACATATGCTATGTAATTCTTTGTTGTGATGCTTCATATAAATTAACTAACTTTGCACGGGTGTACATGTATTATACATATAAACCTTCCCTTGAATGACTCTATCTATTAAAAAAAACTAGTTCAAAATCCGTTGCGTAGTTTTATAGATTTATGTAAACCTAGGGACGCCAACAGGGACTTTATTTTATACTATGTACTTAATGATAACGCACAACTCACTACAGCCTAGATGAGAAGCTGTGAAAAATAGATCCCATTTACATTACAGTAGGACCTACACACTGTAAAGTTTAAAACACACTTTTCCACTTAAGATTGTGTACAATAGTTTGATTTGTATTATCAGTAATTAGTGACTTTAAAAAATGTATTATATGTTCATGATATAGTGATACAAAGTAATAATAACCCTGGCCAATTTCCACAGCACCATCTAGTCACAAGTTTGAGCAGAGCTTGTTTTATTGGTCCTGGGTAACTACTATATAGGTTAAATATGTTCTTATTATAAATACATACATAATGTATGTATTTATAATAATGATGTAAGTTTTTTATAAGATCTGGCATGATTTTTATGTCAAAACTACTTTATTCACTGATCTGTAATAGTTAATATATTCTTTTGTGGTTTACCGCGATACAGGTTTGCGTAGTGCGGGGTTCAATGTTGAATCAATTTTATTATATTTGTAGGTTTGAAAATGAATAAATAAAATAAAAATCATAAATAAATAATATACGTATAAAACATCCACACAAATACACACATATACAGTTATACACTTGAGTACAAATGTTTGTATCATGTAATGCGTAGGAACGAGGATAATATTTTAAGAAAGATGTTACAAATGAATGTGGATGGTTATAAGGGCAGAGGAAGGCCAAAAAAGAGATGGATGGACTGTGTGAAAGATGATATGGTAAGAAAGGAAGTAAATAACGCGATGACTGCGAACAGGGATGAATGGAAACGAAAAACATATTACGCCGACCCCAAATAAATGGGATAAGGATGAAGCAGATGATGATGATGATGATGCAAGGAATCGAACCTACAACCATCGGAAGTAAAGAGTCTCAAAACCGTTACCAGACTGTCACTATATACTGGCATGACCACAGTACTTCCCAATCATGAGGACTATAGTGGCTTGCCTTCATATCCAGTTATGATGTAGTCAGATCTCATAATTTAAACCAGAACATAGTTATCTGATTAACAAATTAATAGGATGGCCATAGTATCAGTATTCAGACAGATTATTTTATTTTTAAGTAATCTAAGTATTGTTACTTAGAAATAGAAATTATCTTTATTCAAATTAACTCAATACAAGCACTATTGAATGTCCTATTTTTTATTCTACCACTCATTCAGAATGCAGATTCATCACAAGAAGAATGAGCAGGAAACTTGTTTGTTGCTCATTTGAATAGACGTTTTTTTATACATACTTAAATTACTGTATAAATGAGGCAAGAGTGAGAAAATGTTAAGCAATTTAGTTAAAATGTCTCTATTAAATAACATGGATATATTATAATATGATATACTTATATTAAATAATAATTTACCATAGGTTATTTCATTAACAAAACTGATAAAAGCCAATAATTCCAAGTAATTGTTTACCAGCAAGATATAGTAATGATAAGGAATTGGAGATGTAAATTAAAAATATATTTATTACATGTTAGTAGTTCAGTGATAAAAATAAATTTATTATATTTTGCTGTAAAAAAGAAGCTGATAATTTAAAGCAAGTTAATTTTCAAAAATAATTGATAACATATATTACCGTATATCGCTCACGAAGCCATTGACCTAATGCAAAATGTTGTTTTTTACCAGTATTGGTCAACTGGCCAAATTTTACCGGCCATAATGATTCGTTTCTCCATGGGTCAGTGGGGTAGCACTCCACTGGGGTTCGGTCTCCATGTCGGTATATAACCGCGGCATACTTAACGTCATTTAATGATGCACTTGCACATTGGTTTCCAAATGCAGCAATAATCAATAACGCAAACAATTTCTTGAATTTCGCTGACCGCATTGTGTAGCCGTATGGAATACGCTGTACGGTTAGATAGATTTTTATCTTTCTGCAAATAGAAGACAACACCTACAGATTTTGTCCTTATAGTATTATTAATTATTAAAAAGATTAATATGACTACGAACTTTCCGACACCTCCGAATGAACACACTGGGAAAACTGACGAAAATGAAATTTGTACGGATTTCCCGAATTTGATAAAATAAATGTAATGTTGCCAACAATGTTAAAGCAAATCCACTAACTAAACATGGATTGCCCTCTTTTCTTTTGTACTTGCCCTCTTCTTAAACAAGTCTATGTGACTATATTTCTATACAAAATTTATAAATGCCAAACTGTGTACAGGTTCTCCTACGTTTATAAAATTAAAAGGCGGAATGGATAGTAATGAAATTTGACAATACTGTTTTATTTTATTTTATTTGTTTCACTGACTTTTTTTTTTTTATTATTAACATGTATTGACTTCAACTGCGATTTGATACAGCAGAAGTTTTCGTAGGGCTAGTTGTGTTTCACTAGGTGTTTATCATATATATTTATATAGATGACACACATATACATATTTACATTATTCATATAATAAATAGTTTATGTTTATATATACATATGTATATGCTATTTTATATATAATATTATATTTTATGTATTTACGCATTTATAGTCTTATGTGTTATTTATCTTTTTTAAATTAATCACGAATCCGCGGGTTTGGAGTATCATTTCCAAAGGCTAGCTGCTGCGTACAACATTTGAATGAGAAGGATAAAAAAACTGATTCTTCTAGGTAACCCGAGTTAACTCGAGTTACCTGAATTCCAACTCGAGATAACTCGAGTCATGTTAATTACGAGTCAGCACATCTCTAGTAAAATATAATGTTTATTATATAAGGATTGCTTAATTTTTTTTTAATTTGTGAAGTAACAATAGAGACAAAGCCTTATAATGTGACCATCATCTAGTTGATATCTAGACCAGACAAGGTATACCTTAAATTTTTTTATAAAGAAATTACATTATACTATAGTATAATGTAATTTCTTTATAAAAAAATTTGTCTTAATAAAATAATTTGCTTCACATTTATTACAATTCAGTTTCTATGATTATAACTATTTATATCTATTAAAATAAATGTAATCAAAAGGAAGCGGATAGTGATATGCTTTGGTGGATATTTGTTAAGTCACTATTAACAACAAAAACAAATTTAATATTTTATTTCTGCTAACCAAAGAGGAGGTCAAATCCACCACATGTGATGGAAAAAACGCTGAGGTGGAAACATTTAAATCCATATTCTATAGAAAATATTACATTTATTATTTATCATAGTCAATGATTAGTCCTTCTCTAATTCAAGAGAAAATATTTCTCTGTAATCAAACGTAATGTAATGACGTTTCCCCATTTTGTTACTGGCGAAATACCCTAAAATCGGGGTAAATTCCATACCAGAAGAAAAAAATGTAATGTCAAGTGAAGGGCAAGGTTAATACCTGTTGAAACATTAAGAAAAATGGAGGGTATTTTAACATATATGTAGAAATAAATAATGTAGAAGGTGTTATTTATACATAGCATAAATATGTATTTAAGGTTGGCAGCTCCATCTTGTGTAATATGTGAAGTATGCCCTTCGCCTTCTCGACGAATTTTAAAACGACATCAAGACATTCAAAACATTTTTTAATACTATTAATGTTCTGAATTATTCTAATTATGGCCTGACTTCAATCTCACTTTGTTATCCTCCACTGGTGCACCGCCAGTAAGCCGTCAGAGCAAGCAAGTGCATCATTCCAAAATGACCCAATTAAAAAAAAAATACCACACCAATCGGGGAGGATGGAGATTGTTACTGTGGTCTAATAATCACATTACTAGCAATGTACCATGTCAGGTTGACCTCCACGTGGTTCACCCTAGAAACCATCATAACGAATTATTGGAGAATGAAAATCATGATAACAAAAACGTGCTCATTTTATCATCTTCCACTGGTGCCTCACCAGATAGTAATTATTATATAAAACAGTTACACTTTATTGCAGGCTGGTGCATCATTCTATTATCATCTATTAAAAAAAAAGATCCGGTACAATCAAACGGGCGCCTGCGCGCGCCCGGGCGACTCAAACCGGCGTCCTATTGGCCGACGCTCCAATCAATAACCCATCCAGTTCAAACGGGGTTTCAAATTACGACTAAGCTGTCTAGCTATATGTTAAGCTGGAGTTGGTTTTCAGCCACTCCATAAAACGCCTCCAATTGTTTGATGAAGCTGTAAAGACCGACTGCGGCCAACAGCATTAGAATAATTCCAGTGGAGGACAGGAACTGTCCAGCCTATAGTGTTACGCTGACCGTTCCATAGGTTTAAATCCAGTAAAAGCATGGCCTACCCATTTCAGAGATTAGCCGGAACACACTGACAGACAGTCAAAAATTGTAAAAATTTTATTTTGATGTATATACCGTATTTATATTCATATACAGTAAAAAACGTTTATTTCAATATTACAAACAAACACTCCAATTTTATTTATATGTATAGATGTAGTTAAAAATCCTACATAAATACAAAATAGAAGAGCTTTCATATTAAAATTGATCTGGTTAACGCTATGTTTAAAAAAAGATTTTAAAAATCATATAAAATTAAAAATTTTTTTCATAGGGACAGATTTTTTAATATTGTTTTTGAATTTCATTTTGGACTGCTCTCTACGGCTGAGAAGTAATACTGTAGATACTATTTTACTATGAAACAATTACACTTTACAGTGAAACTAACAGTTAAAAGTAATATTTAGATATAAACAAGGAAACATTTTGTATTAAAATAGAAATCAACCATAGCTACATGTTTATACATGTAACTGGGAGAGAAGGGGACAGGTAGTAATCTATATTAACCTTATTGCTAGCAGTGTACCATATCTGGTTGACCTCCACTTGGTTCCCCTTGGAAATCATGATAACTTCATGGTCAATTTACCACGATGTTCTAACTGATCTGACCTCATGCTCAACTTATCCTCCTCTACTGGTGCCCCGCCAGTTTAACATGTTAGCGTAGGCGGATTCACTATTCTATTATAATCCATAAGAATACATATGTAACTATGATCAGTATGTATGTATATCAATTCTATTTCCTCCTAAGGTTTTTTTACGCACCCGCCTGCACTAAAGGTTTACGCTGTCGGGGCACCAGTGGAGGATTATAACATGAGCATGATGATGTCTCGTTAGTTAATAAAATAAAATAAATAAAAAAAAATAAAAAAGCCTTTTATTTTCCAAAATAATGATATTACATGCATTTCTTTAATTACATTACTATTTAACTTATATTATTCTGATAATTTTTATTCACTTTATTTATATATTTTTGTTAACTCATTATTAGCATGCAATAATTATTAGAATTACACCAATTATCCATTTCTCTTTTTTATTTGGGTATCCATTTAAGGATATAGGCCTCTTCCGACCTTTTCCATTTTACCATTGGCAATTTTTTTTTTTTATTTTAATAGTCGCACACAAGTGACTATAGACATAAAATCTTATATGTACAGACATTAAATAATTTGTTTTAATTTTCTTTCATATTATTATTATTACTATTTATTTATGTTTTCTGTTCAATTTTTGCATATTGGGGTGCGTAAATATTTACAATTTATTATCTTAAAATAGTTACTGTCTTTAAGGTTGGAAGGTATTGGTCTACTATTCCCACGGGGACCGGCCGTATTGGGAAAGAACTTGTGGTTCTATAAGTGTCTGTTTGTGTTCCGGTTAGAGGAGGCGCTGCTGGATGCTATGTTATATATCTATATCTCTATCAGAGTAATGTGAATCTGTAGCTTGCTGTCTATTCCTAGTTTGATATGAGATACATTGAGTTATATTTCTATTTTCGTTTGTTATTTTATGTTTTTTAGTCGTTCTACGTGTTACTTCTTTTGCATTTTTATTATAGGTAGTACCATAAGATGATTGATCTAACGTCCGCTTTTTGCTTTGGTTTTGAGTCATTAAACTATCATGGTTATTGTCTTTATTAGGTAGGATAATTAATTTGTTATATTTTACGATAGCTTTATTTCCTTTTTCTAGTTCACATCTCAATTCTTCTTGTAATCTTTTTCTTTCGTTTAATATTTTTTTCGGATAATCTTCTTTTACATACATAGTGGTACTAACAAGTTTAGATTTATTTTTTAATATTTGTTTTTTAATATTTGTCTGGTTAGTTAGCACATCGTAACAAATGTAACTATGGACAGTAGGGGAAAAGACGATTGCTAGTAATGTGGACTGATGATCTCATTGCTAGCAATGCACCATGTCAGGCTGACCTCCACGCGGTACCAATATAAAGAAAGCGTGATAAATTCTAGGTGAATTTGCTACGATGGGCTAACTGACTTGACCTCATTCAGCTTATCATCCTCCACTGGTGCCCCGCCAGCGTAAACCGTCAGCGCAGGCGGGTTTAACATTCCATCCAACCATAAAAAAACTATGGGCAGCAATATTCAAGAATTTTGTTAACTACTTAAATAAAATATTACATTGGTACTACCTACCGTGGTAGTAGGTACGTACTCATCTACGGATGATGATGAAATATAATTTCATCCTACTATTTCAACATAAATCAAATTCAGTCCGGTTTAAGTGATATACTTGCTTCTGACCAAACATTTGAGCTAATTATATAAAAAATGTGAAACAACATAAGTACCGTAATGTTTTATTTAATTAATAAATAGTCATGAATACTCTAAAGCAGGTTGTTTTGGCGTCATCGTGTGCCTAAATTAAATTTAATTAGAAGAAAATTACTATAGGTTCTAATTATATTCAATTTAGGTGTTAGAATTACTGTATAATTTATATTTGATATTATATTTAATTTGTAGGCAATAATCGTTTAAGTAAGTACTAGTTACAATAAAATACCAGAGTCTGTTATAAATCTGCCAGAAAAAAGATTTAAATGTCAAATAAAACAGTTTCTTTGCAAAAAAGCTTACTATAAAATTGAAGAATTCGTTAACGATAATAATGTTTTTATAGAAAAACTTTAAATCCATAGCACTGACAATATTATCTAATTACACTAATAATGAGTGCGTAGCGATTTCTATGTTGAT